CTCTCAGTGCTGGGATTAAAAGCGTGCACCACCACTCCTAGCCTTGTTTTAGATTTTCATGATATGCAATCTGTTTGTTTTCTCCTTGAATATTTAAGCTTCTGTATGCTTCTGTTAGCATCTTGGAGGCTGGAAGCAGGGTCTGGTATTTCCAGGTTCTTGGCCTCTTAGCCAAAGAAGTGAAAATAAGGGCTCAGACAGATTTGCAAGAATAGCCAAATAACTTTATTGGGAAGTGACTTGAATCAATGGTACAGATTAGAGAGGAATACACTGTCAAGAATGACTGAGGGGGCAGCTAGACGGCTCGGTGGGTAAAGGTGCCCACTGCCAAGAATGATGATCAAGTTCAATCTTGGAACCCACATGGTGAGAGGAGAGAACCAACTCCCTCAAGTTGTCTTCTGACCTCCACCTGAGTTCCATGACATGCATGCACTCGCCCCCCACGTACATGCATGTAAACTTAATAAAACATGCAAAAGTTAAAAAAAAGACTGACAGCAGCCACACGAATGAGGAGACTTAGGGGCCTCAGTTATTGTGTGAAGCTTTTTTTCATGAAGTTCAAGTGAAGGAGGAGTTTGGTTACGAAGAGCTACAGCATGGGCAGTTCTCCAATTTGATGCTAGATTCTATCATAGAATCATTTTTTGCTACATTTTATGTATTATTTTTATTTTGTGTGTATGAGTCTGCATGTATATAAGTGCACCCATGCTACGCAATGCCTGCGGAGGTCAGAAGAGGGCATCAGATCCCCTGGAACTGAGTTATAGACTATTGTTAGCCACCATATGGGTGCTGGGAATCGAACCTGGGTCCTCTTCAAGAGTAACCAGTGCTCTTAACCACTGAGCCATCTCTCTAGCCCCTGTCATATAATCATTTTTCTATAGTACATGTTCCTTCCCATAATGCATCTGACTTTAGTCACCTACACACCTAATTATACACAAACATAAGATGATAAATAAGGGTAAGTGCACCCATTTTGTGCAATGCCTGCCGAGGACAGAAGAGACTGTCCCTGGACAGAAGAGATCCCCTGGAACGGCATTACGGACAGTTGTTAGCTTCCATGTGGGTGCTGGGATTCGAACTGAGTCTTCTGCAAGAATAGCCAGTGTTCCAAACCACTGAGTCATCTCTCCAGCCCCTTAAAAAAATTTATTATTTTTATTTTATGTGTATGCATTTATCACTTGCATGTAGGTAAGTGCACTGTGTCGTGCAATGCTCTCAGAAGACAGAAGAGGCCGTCAGATCCCCTGGAACTGGAGTTACAGGCAGTTGTTAGTTGCCATGTGGGTGGTGGGATTCAAACCCAGGTCTTCTGCAAGAACAGTCAGTGTTCTTAACCACTGAGCTTTCGCTCCAGCCCCTCTGGTGGGGCTTTAAGAATCCCAAGGGAGGTTTTGGCCAACTTGTTTAGAGTCACAGTCCCTCCGTCAATAGAGACAAGAGTCATTCTATTTGCTTTTGCTCTGTATGGCCTATGATTTGTGTAAATATACTTATTGACCTATGTTTCACATAGGGAAACCTGGACGCAATTAGCAATGAGTGTAATGAATAATTGAACATATTTTTATACTAATTAGAGAAAACACTATGTGGGGTAAGTGAGCATCTGTGGTCCAGTACCAGGGCACAGAAGACTTTTTCCCCCTTGAGACAGGGTTTCATGTAGCACAGGCTAGCTTCAAATTCCCTATTCAGCTGAAGATGATCTTGAACTCCTTATGTAGCTGCAGATGATTTTTAATCCTCCTACTTCCAATCCTGAGGACTAGGATTATAGATGTATACTACCATGCTGATTTACAAAGTGTTGCGGATGGAACTAAGGGCTCTGTGCATACTACACAAATACTCTGCAATATCCTCAGGTCCCAGAAGACATTTAGCTGTCCATCTTAGAGGATAATCTCCATACCAGAGCATTGTAAAGAAAATAAATGTGGAAGTACCAAGGAAAGAAGGAGAAGAAGAGGTCATTACAAAGAGGGAAAGAGAAGCCAGCGAGATCCCTTTCCAGTGTGCTATGTTCTGGCCGAAGAATGTGTCTGCACATTATGGCTGCAGAGGCTGAAACAGCAGGATGAGCCGGGTTGGGTGGGAAAGTCTTGGTGTAGTCGGGGTGCTCTGCTGAGGAGTGACGGTGGTGCTAGGGCCATAGTCCAAGGCTCAGATTCTGTTTAGTGAAGCCGCACTGGGCGCACTATGCTAACATACCACAGCCAAGGATATTCGGGCTTCATCCATTTCTTTGTTCTGTCGCTCTTCCCAATATCCCTGTCTGCTGTCTTTTCCTCTCCTTCCTGCTCTCACCCACCCATCTACTTACTTTCTGTGTGCAGAAAGAAATGATGGTAAACAGGACATTCATGGAACCAATCCTTAAGAGCCTTGCTTTCCAGAGAACTGGATTACAGCAAAACAGGATGAGTCTGAGGAGGGTGGTGAAGAGACTCTGGGTATTTGATGTCTCCTTTCTCCTTTTATAAAAAATATATATTTTTTAAAATTTTATGAGTATGAGTGTATTGCCTGCATGTAAGTGCACCCATGTCATGCAGTGCCCTCAGAGGTCAGAAGAGGGTGTTAGATTCTCCTGGAACTGGTTGTTAACCATCATGTGGGTGCTGAGAATCGAGCCCAGGTCCTCTGCAAGAGCACCCAGTGCTCTTAACCATTGAGCCAACTCTCCAGGCCCTTTCTCCCTTTTCCTGCTTCCTGTCTCATCCTCCTTTCCCTTCCTGTCTCCAAGGAAACAGATTCGCTCTCCTGGGACTCTCTCACCTTTTTTTCTTTTTTTCTCTCCCCATCTCTTTCCTTTTCCTCCCCTTCCTCCTTCTCTCGTCCTCCCCCCATTTACCCTTCTTTCCTTTCATCTCCTCCTCTCTTGCTTTCTCCCCTCCCGCCCCCAGCTTCTTCCCTTTTCATTAATTTATTCTCATTCTCTTCTTTACCCTGAACCTTCATAATGCCCATGTCTCATCCTATTTATTCATTGGCAGGGTCTCATGTAGCCCAGAACGACCTCAAATTTGCTGTGTAGTCTATGATGACCTTGAACCCTTTGAACCTACTGCCTCCACCTCCCAAGTGCTGGGATCATAGGCACGTGCTACCACACCTGGTTTTCATGTCTCTCTCAGCTTGAGAGACGCTTTTACTGGACTCAGTAGTATGCACCTATAATCTCAGTTCTAGGGATGCTATGGCAGGAAGGTTTCAAGTTGTAAGATCAAGTGGGGGGGAAAAAGGACATTTTCTTTAACTCTAGCTTAACACCCAAGGGCTAGCATCCCTAATCCCTGTTTACAAATTCAAGATTCCTTTAAGAGGTCAATCACTTGACTTCTGTGATGGCTAATCCTGGGTGTCAACTTGATTGGATCTGAGATTAACTGAAATGAAAGAGATCTTCTTGACTGGATCATCTAAACCGGAAGACACACCCTAAATGTGGGCGTTACCTTCTGATGGCAGCTGGTATAAAACACCAAGGCAGAGGAGGCCACGGGGCTTTTTGCAGCTTGCCTTCTCTCTCGCTGGTGAGTTTGTCTTGCTGCTGTAGACTGAAGACTAGCTGATCTTTTGGAATTTGTCAGGCCTTCAGCACCAGATTGGGACTACAGCCTTGTTAACTGAGTGACTACGGATTCTCAGCCTCCCCAGTGTGGTGCACCCATTGTTGGACTACTCGGACTCTATCCTGTGAGCTAAGCTGATAAATCTCTATACATATTCATTCTACTGGTTCTGTTTCTTTGGAGAACCTGACTAATACAACTTCCTAAAGTCAAATGCTGAGGCACTGAGCAAGTCGGAGAAGTGAGGCTTTCCTGGGGAGTCAGAGTCAAAAACCATTCCAGGACGTGTTGAAACCTTACTCTGAACTTTCATTTTATTTATTTGTATTTTCTGTGTATTATGGGTGTTTTACTTATATGTAAATGCAATGCCCACAGAGGCCTGAAGAGCCAGTCAGATCCCCCAGAACCACAGTTAGGATAGTTGTCAGTCACCATATGGGTACTAGATACTGAATCCAGGTTCTCTACAAGAGCAGCCAGTGCTCTTAACTGCTGCTGAGCAGCCAGCCCCAATGACTCTGAACTTTAAAAGAACAAGCTAAACTTGGGTACATATCACCCAGGCATGGTGGCACATACTATAATCTCAGCACTCAGGAGGCTGAGGCAGGAAGATGGCAATTTCCAAGCCGGCCTGGGCTGCATAGTGATTTCCAGGCCAGCCTGGGCTATAAAGTAAGATCTTGTCTCAGAAATAGGACAGGGGTGCATATCACTTTCTGGATACAGTTCACAGGCCTGTAAGGCTGGGCAGGCAGTTCTTCCCATCCCATAATTATTATCACTTGCCCAAAGTCACACAACCAAACATCCGTATCAGGATTGGCTCTTTGGCCCTTTAACAAAGCCTCTGTACAGCCATGACAGCTTCCTGAAGTGGAAGAGAGACTTTTGCGTCAAACAGCCCTCTCTCGGCTCAGGTGCCACACCCAGGTCAAGGGGACAGGACTCTACCTAGCTATCGCTGAGCCTCTCAGGGCTTCCATGCTTCTTTGTAGCCCAGGCTGGCCCTGCAACTCACAGTGATCCTCTTTGTCCAACTCTCCAACTGCTGGATTACAAGGCACAAGCTATCAAGACCCATTCCTCTTGGGGCTTGCTCTCTGATCTTGCCTTCTGGCCTGTATATTTGCAGATGAACTCATATGTGTACACACAAGCATAGACATGCACACACATCCTGCACTTTCCCCCAACTCTGCTCTAATTCCCACTTCCACCCCCTTCATTCGGTAAGCCTACCTCCAACAGGAGGCTGGTGAATGCTTAAATAACAGAGATGAAGATGCAGCCTTTCCCTCACTTTCTCTCCGTGCCCTTTTTTCCTGCATGTCCCCATGTACTCTCAGGCCTGCACGCCCCAAGATTTCCCTTTCCACGGAGTACGGTACTTACTTGGATGGTGCACATCCTTCTCCAGGTGTGAGAGTCTCTGGACAGAGGCTCCGTGCCACTCTGACTCAGGCAAGCGCAGGCCCTTGAAGAGGTGGCCAACAATCAAATTGCACACGGTCCCCTCTGTATAAAACACCAGCAGGATATGAGCAGCCACAGCCAGAGTGAGCACAGAGCAGAGAACCTTGAGGCAGCTTTTCCTTCTTCAGAGCAGCGCCTTGAATCTGTGGATCCCTGCAGACAAAGCCCACCACTAGGCTGGGTCTCAGGTGGGCAGTGGTCGCACAGGTGGCACCCTGACTGCTGAGCCAGATGTTCTCTGGCTGGGAAAGCTGCCACAGTCTGGCTTGCGTCTGAAGAGTGTCAAGTGTGGTCAGTGGGCCAGGGAAGCTACTCAAAAACCGTTAAATCACCTGGACACACCTGGTGCCACTTCAGAAGCCAGGGATGTGTTGGTGGCTCCGGAAGCTACCTCAGCCTGCCTGGGGGAGAGCCCTTCTTCCATCAGCTTTGGGGATTTTGAGGAATTTTGTTTACGGGAGAGGATCTCACTCTAATTAGCCAGGCTGGCCTCAAACTCACAGCAAACCTTCTGCGTCAGCCTCCCAAGTATAAGTACTTACAGGCATAGCCACCACACCTAGTTAATGTTTTGCTTTTAATGTTCTCTCTTACTGACAAAAGCACCTCTCAGGAACGTATGAGAGCTGGTCCTCTGAGGATCCACAACGGGAAGATGAGGAAGGAAGTCATCAGCGCTCATACCATGTACCTTTTTTCTTACTTAACTCTTCAGGACTATACACACAGTAGGTGTGCAACAAACACTGGTTCAACTAACTTAAGGAGAGGCTTCCCTACTGGATCCCAGAGTGGCTCCTGGAAGCAGGTGCAGTGAGCCAGAGCTGGCCCTGGGGTGAGCCTCAGGGAATGACTCTGCTTCACTGAGCTCTGTCCTCTGTCTGACTCTGGATTCTGGAGCTCTCCCTTGCTCCAGTTTCTTTTAAACTCTGTTGCCTCCATACCCCACACTTCCCATATGTTTTAGACAAATCACCCAATTATCATTATCAATTAAATATTAAAAATTTTCCCCAAAGCCTAAAGTTTTAAGTTCTCGATCTAGGTACTGGAGGGATGGCTCAGGAGTTAAGAGCACTTGCTGTTCTTAAAGAGGACCTGAGTTCAGTTCCCAGCACCCACATGGTGAACAACAACCATCCTTAACTCCAGTTACAGGGGATCCGACACCCTCTTCTCGCCTCCATGGGCACTGCATGCACTTTATACATGCAGGCAAAACACTCATACACATAAAATAAAAATAAAACATTTCCAGCTTCCATAGTCATAGCTTTCCCCGGCCTGAATCCTTGAATTACTTTCCAGGTCCCCCAAACAGCATCTGCAGACAAGCATGAGGCAGACACTGGACTGACAGAGAAATGTGGCTGTGGGGAATGCAGTTAGAAAGAAAAGCAACCAAGTGGAAAGTCATAACTTTGTTTTTTTGTCAATTGCCCCAGGTTCCCACTTACAAGTTCCAGTGAAAAAATATGATCCCTTCCATTTCCTGGAGGGATTGAGGTAGCTATATTGGCCTCTTGCTCCTATCCACCAATGGCAATGAAAACCCCGAACTGCCAGGCCTGGTGGCACAAGCCTGTAATCTTAGCCACTCTGGAGGTTGAAGCAGGAGGACCACAAGTTCAAGACCAGCCTAGGCTGCAGAGTAAATTCAAGACCAGTCTGTACAACTTAGTGCAACTCTGTTATAAAATAAGAAACAAGCCGGGCGTGGTGGCATACGCCTTTAGTCTCAGCACTCGGGAGGCAGAGGCAGGTGGATGGCTGTGAGTTCAAGACCAGCCTGGTCTGCATAGTGAGTTCAGGTCAGCTGAGACTACAGGGAGACCCTGTCTCAAAAAAAAAAAAAAAAAAAAAAAAAAAAAAAAAAAAAAAAAAAAAGGGGGGGGGGTGACCCAGAAGTAAACCAAAACACAAAAACGACTTTCGCTACCAAGCAAAAAAAAAAAAAAAAAAAAGAAAAAAAAAAAAAGGGCCCTTTTTTCAAAAAAAAAAAAAAAAAAAAAAAAAAAGACAAAGTAAGAAATAAACAAAGGCTGGGGATGTGACTCAGAGTTACATCAAGTAACTAAAGAGTACTTGCCTAGCATGCCTGAAGCCTTAAGTTCAACCCCTACTATCACAGCACAAGCAAAACCAAAAGCAAACAAAAACCCTCGACATTATATATAAAAGAATCAGGGGGACTGAAAGATAAAAGAGAGCAGACTAACTAGAGGTGTATAAGTTTATTCTTATCCATGAGTATCCAATATATTAAACAAACTTTTAAAAATCACTGGATAAGCCTTAACAGCAGAGTGAACAAGACAGAGGAAAAGAAATCAGTTATGAAAATAGAAATTGCCCAGTCCAAAAGAGAGAGAAAATATATTGGAAAAATAATAACAAAGCCCCCAGAGGTCTGTGAGATCGTAATGAAATATGTAATATTTGTATAATTGGGGTTTTAGAAGGAAAGGGAAAAGGGTGTGGGCTAAACCAGAATTTTAAGGAGCTAAAGCTGAAAATCCCCCAAAGTTGGCAAAACACAGAAGTCTATAGATTTAAGGCATTTGAATGAATCCTAAATAGGCTAAACTGAAAGAAATCCCTGTCCAGAAACATCATAATCCACTTTCTGAAAACTAGAGAAAAAGACTAATGCTTGAAAGTAGCAAAAGGCTGGGGGTGTGGTTTACTGGTGGAGCACTTGTCTAGCACCTGAGTTCATCCTCAGCACAAAAGGACAAGAGGAAGAGAAGGAGGTGGAGGGGGTATGTTCTCTGGTGTTTGTCTCGACTGTTATGGGGGTAACCAGTTGCTCTCTAGAGCCTCAAATTAATTTCCACAAATGAAAACTAATATCTGGTACTGCGTTCCCAGTTTAAAATGCATGGTTGATGAAGCTTTAGAGCCGGGGGCGAACTTACTACTTTTGTGTGTATGTCAGACAGAGTGTCATTATGTAGCTCTGACAGGCCTGGAACTTACTCTATAGACCACGGCTGATCTTGAAGTCACAGAGATCTGCCTGTCTCTGCTGGGATTAAAGGTTATCTACCACCATGTCCATCCTGAATTTACAACTTTTATTTAGCTAAACTGTCATGGCAGCAAGCTGCCTTCCAAATATTTGTGTTTATAGTCATAGACAAATTCTGCTCTCAGTCTTAATCAGTTGTGAATGCAAAGAGGCGTGGCTACTGGAGGTACTGAGAACAAACGAGTGCTTAGCCCTAAGTACTCAGCCCTAAGCAGGACATTTATACCACCCCTTCCAAAGAAGAGAGGGCAGAAGGAATGTAAGACCAGTAGACTGGGATAAGGGCTGTGAAATGCTGTTTCCTCCACTAATGCAGCTGTGCTTCTATAGCACCTGTGCCTGCCTGCAATGGGCCTACACAAGACTGGGCTTATTAGGGCTGGAGAGATGGCTGGTTGCTCTTGCAGAAGACCTGGGTTTGAATCTTAGCACCCACATGGCAGCTAACAACTGTCTGTAACTCCAGTTCCAGGGGAATCTGATGCCCTCTTCTGATCTCCTGGGGCTCTGTATGACACAGGCACACTTACACACATGCAAACAATACACATAAAACTAAAAAATATTTTTAATTAATTAATTAAAATAAATGTGTTTGATAGAGTGAAAACTGTCTGATGTGGCTCTCAAAGTATTCCAGATGAGATATTTCGGGCAGTTATACACAGGATGGGTAGAGGAACTTACAATGAGGCTTTTACTTGTTCCTTGAACTGGCAAATTGAAGTAGCCAATGGCCGGTGATAAAATATTCATATATAGTTTGTGAAGTATCTTTTTCTTTATTTTTTTATTTTACTTTATTTTATTTTATTTTATTTTATTTTTTGAGACAGAGTCTCACTTTGTAACCCCATCTGACCTGGAATTTGCTATGTGAATATGTGGACCATCTCAGGCTGGCTTTCACCCCACAGAGATCCACCTGCCTCTGCTTCCCAAGTGAAGCCTGGGACTAAAAGCATGTGCCACCATGCCTGGCCCTCATGAAGTATCTTGGTTGTTGGAATCTACAGGTGATAAAATGGCACAGAAATGTGTACACACAAGTACCTGTGTTAGTGTTATGGTAATAAAAGTATACTCACTGGGCCAGCAAGATGGTTCAGCCAGTAAGGACACTTGCCACCAGGCTTACAACCTGAGTTCAATCCCCAGAAAGCACACCGAGGAAGGACAGAACCAACTCCTGCAAGTTGTTCTCTGACTTTCACACATATACCAGGGTACACTTGGAGCACCCCCCCCCGCCACCATAGATATATTCATTAGAGGAAGCAGGAAACAGGGAAGAGGGTAGACAGAACTGTGATGCACTATTTTTGCATATTTTCATGATCACATAAATCTCTCCAAATTAAAATTATTTTAGAAAGCATGATCCCTTCTCTCCACAAACTGATCATGGAGAAAATACTAATTCCTAAAATTATAAATTCTTCATTAAACACACACACAAAAAAAGGCTGGAAAGATGGATCAGCAGTTAAGAGCACTGACTGCTCTAGTAGAGGAGCCAGGTTTGATTCCCAGCACCCACATGGAGGCTACGAACCGTCCTTAACTCCGGTTCCAGGGGAATCTGACGCCCTCTTCTGATCTCTGTGGCATTGCACGACACATGTGCACTCACATACATGCAGGAAATGCACTCATACACATAAAATAAAAATAATAAATAAAATATTTTTTTAAAAACACACAAAAATAAGCTGGTTACTCTGGAGGTGGTGGGTACTGGCTAGCTGAGGGATGGAGGTATAGAGAATATCATTCATTATATGGTATTTTAAATTTTGTATCATTTGTGCATAAATTATTATTATAAAAATAAAATATATATTAAAATGGCTCTATAAACTGTGTCACGGCTTCTGAAATAAGAAAGTTTATCAAGCTAAAATAAGACCAGCACTTGTTCTGTTCTTTTTTTATATATAATTTTATTTATTTATTTATATTTTATGTGTATGAGTGTTATGCCTACATATGAGTTAAGTGCATTTATGTCATGCAGGGCCCATGGAGGTCAGAAGGTATAAGATCCCCTGGAACTGGAGTTAGGGTCTGTTGTTTGCTGCCATCTGGGTGCTGAGATTCGAACCCAGGTCTTCTGCAAGAACAACCAGCGCTCTTAACTGCTGAGCCATCTCTCCCATCCCTCTTTTCTTGGGTTCTTTTGAAATAGGATCTCCTGTAGCTAAGGATGACCGTGAATTCCTGACTCTCCTATTTCCAACTCCCAAGTGTTGGGATTACAGATGCGGGTCACCGTACCCAGCACAAATGCTTCTTTTTTCTCTGAAGTTCTTGTATCCGTTCTTGTCCACAAAGAGAGTGGTGAAATGGCTCAGGAAAGGGATGTGTGGGTGGCTTTCTGGTGCTCCAATTCT